GTTGCTGTTGCGTCGTGCAGCGTGTTTGCTGCTGGCTCCCCAGCCAGGAAGCGCAGCAAAGGGAAGACGCTGCTGCTGCGGAGGCTGTTGTTTGCTGCTGCAGTGCACTTGACGCTGAAGAGGCAGGAGAAGGGGTTGGGGGGCAGCAGCAAGACGCAGCAAAAGAACAGCAGCAGCAGCAGCGAGAACGGCAGCAGCACCCGGTTCTTCCACGCAGACTTTCGAAACACGTTTCCACTTATGTACAAAACTGCTGCATGCAGCACACAAATCCCAGTCCATATAAAGATGTATCCTGCTTCTGCATGCCCGTCGGCGCTGCACACGAGCTTCTCTGCTGCTGCTGCTGCTGCTGCTGCTGCCGAGTCCTGCAGAAACGCCACGGGTGGCCAGAAGCTGCTGCTGCTCGAGGGCCCCCTAAAAGGAAGCAGCTCAGTTTCGGCGAAGGCCAGCATGCGGTCGGGGTTGATGTCTCGCTCCAGCTTCTCTGCTGCTGCTGCTGCTGCAGCTGCTGCTTCCGCTGCTGCTGCCTCCGCTGCTGCACCCAGCAGGGGCCCCTCCTCACCCTCAGCAGCAGCAAAGTCAGGACCCAAAAAGCCCTGAGAGAGGGGCCCCTGCAGCCGCGGGCGGCGGCTACCTGCGCCGGCGAAGAAGGAGGCGCTCTTGGGTGCTGCAGCAGCAGCAGCAAAGTGCTTCTCGCTGCTGCCGCCACCCTGATGCTGCTGCTGCTGCTCCTGCTGCTCCTGCTCCTGCTGCAGGTGCAGTCCGCTGTGGGAATCTTGGTCGGCAGCAGGCTGGGCCGGGGACTGTTTTTGCCGGAGGTGCTCTTGCACCTGCTGTTGCTCTTCTTGCTGCTGCTGCTCTTCTTGCCGCTGGCCTTCTTGTGGCTGCAGCTGCCCCTGCTGCTGGACGTCTTGCTGCTGCTCTTTTCGGTGTAGAGGTTCCCCCTTCTGTTGGTTTTGCTGCTGCTGCTGCTGCTGCTGCTGGTCCTCGCGGCTCTGCTTCTTCCGCCGCCGCAGCTCCGGGCTCTGCTCCTCCTCCCCCTGCTGCTGCTGCTGCTGCTGCTGCTGCTGCTGCTGGTATGGGTTTTGGAGGCTGTGCTGCAGCCAGGCGCAGGGGAGCGGATATGCTGCAGGCCCGTAGAAGAGGTACAGCAGCAGCAAAAATGCTGCGAAGTCAACAGCAACAAGAGTCAAGACAGAAAGAACAACTCCAGCAGCAAAAGGAGAAGAAGTGGGGGAGCGGGGCCCCAGGGGGCCCCCCGCGGGCTGCGAAGAAAGCATAGCAGCAGAAAGTCCCAGCAGCAGCACCAAGTCTAAGAAGAGCCCGGACAGCAGCGGCAGCCCCGAGAACTGCGCCATCACCAGCAGCAAACTTGCTGTTGCTGCCAGCAGCCCGTAAGAAATGTGCAGCTTATAAATCCCCATGGCTGTGCTCAGGCTGCAGCGCCCCACACGCACAATGTCCACCAGCCCCATCACGCCGTCCCGCTGCTGCTGCTGCTGCTGCTGCTGCCGCCGCCGCTGCTGCTGCTGCTGCTGCCGCTGCG